GAAAGAGAACGAGGATCAGAGCGTGACTGGTCTGGAAACTCTGAGAGGAGGAATCATGAAGAGAGGGACCAAGACTGGGACAGGTCTCAAAAGGAGCAGAAGGAGCACAGATATAGGGAAGGCAAAGATGGATCCCGAGACTATCGTCCAAAAGAGCGTGAATTGGACTATGAGGATGACTGGGACAGAGGGCAATCTTCGTCAAGACTTAGGAGCAGGTCTCGAGTGGTGCAAGAAGATCATCATCGGTCTCGTTCACGAGATGTTGATTATGGAAAGAGGAGACGTTTGCCATCTGAGTGACCTGGTCTCGTAATCAGATCTTCTTCAGCATGCCTTATACAATGCAGAATCAATGTTTGCAACTTTGCACTTTCAATCCTTGGATGGCTATGTGCATCTACATCACTCTCCGGACCTTGATTGCCCAAATTTATGCAGCGTCTTGAGTGAAAGTAAGTTCTACTTGTTTGGACAGGGCGGAAGAATTTATTTTTATATTGCTTTCATACCGCTTTCTACTGAATGGATTAGGACATTGGGTACAATCATATTTATGAACTTAAAAATGATTAGTAACTTTCATTAGCATACAAATAAGGATGAAGTTTGTGGGGTTTGGGTCCTAATGCCCTGCAGCTGGTTGTCCTATTTCTTCAAGACAATTGCTTCTGTTGGGCTTGTGATGTTGATACTCTAGAAACAAATTTTTTTTTTTTTTTTTAATTTGACAATGGGTGTTCTTTTATTTGGTGAATTCTCTTAAAACTCTCTCTGTTTTTGTGTGCGTCTCTAACTTCTTGAGTATGGTCTGTGGATATTATATTTGAGAATCATGAAGATTGCAAGTTATATTGATCTTAGCACATATATGTTCTTATCTTGGTTTCTATATGTGATGATGGGAGTGCGCATCTTGTTTTAAATTCAGGGAGGTCATTTCTTGATTTTTGAATGGAAGTTTGCCTTCTTCTACTAGTATTATTAAGGTATCTTTATGGGTACGGGGTACCCAGGAGCAAGACTAAGATTGCTGTGATTAAAACGTTATGATATTAGAGCGAGTGACTCATGAAAATATACAATTATGCTTCTCAATTTGCTTGCTCCTTTCTCACTGTATTTGGCAGAGAATGAGAAATACTCATTCCTGAAAACTACGAAATTTCAGCGGAGTTGCTAGATTTTGTCCTTGTTTGCCATGTCTCACTGAAGTGCATACCTAAAAGGATTGTTTAATAAAAATGGTTTTGGAGACTCGTAAGCTCGTCCTGTTGTGTTGTGCTTCTTTTAATTCTGTTAATGTGTGTCTCGGCTAGATTATGAAGTAGTTTCCTGGCAGAATATCTTATCTAATCTCCTTTTGATCATCATATCCAGGGAATAGAGTGAGCAACTCTTTCTTTTCATGAATGAGCCAGCTTTTTCTGGTTATATGGTGGAAGTTTTGTTACATGGGATGCCTTTATTGGATTCCTCTGGTGATGGCTTTGGTCTGCCAAGTATGAAAAAGAAGTCTTTGACTGTTCTTATTTTCACCTTGTTTTTGACCACCTAAAATATCTGTATTACTGCTCCTTGCATCAAAACCTCTAGAAAGAGTGCCCACGAACCTGTTCAGATATGAAGGTAGACCTATCACATACAATGTTAATACTGTATTGTCTTGTGTAAGAAAATGTTGTATCACCTCCGCATGTAATGACCTTTTTTCTTGCCATTTCGTTTTGCCCCAGCTTGTATCTTGTACTGATTTTGATCCGATTGATCCTCATACTTTGTACGGCACAAGTGACAATTTTTCCTTCTTGCATTAGGCAGTTAGGCTTGAGTCGTTACGTTAAATCACCATGTAAATTGTAATGTTCATAGTGAGATTTGTATAACCCAGTTTCCTTTTTCTATCTCTCTTTCAGTGTATTGTTTTTTTTAGAAAGAGTGCCCACGAACCTGTTCAGATATGAAGGTAGACCTATCACATACAATGTTAATACTGTATTGTCTTGTGTAAGAAAATGTTGTATCACCTCCGCATGTAATGACCTTTTTTCTTGCCATTTCGTTTTGCCCCAGCTTGTAATTATCTTGTACTGATTTTAATCTGATTGATCCTCATACATTGTACGGCACAATTGACAATTTTTCCTTCTTGCATTAGGTAGTTATGCTTGAGTCGTTATGTTAAATCACCATGTAAATTGTAATGTTCATAGTGAGATTTGTATAACCCAGTTTCCTTTTTCTATCTCTCTTTCTGTGTATTGTTTTTTTTTAGCTTTTGGTGTATTATAATTTAGTACATCTATATTACCAGATGTTGTTGGGTTAGGTGTCATGTACTTTTGCCTTCCTCTATTGGCAGAGGAGTTCTGTATTGTCTCTGATGAGATCAAATGTCTGGATAATGTCGTCCATTGTATTCTCGTAAGCTATTGGTGTATACTTTCTGGAGAATATGTATTTGATGGTCTGATCTGTATTCATGTAACATTTGAGTGTACGAGGAGCTGCATCATTCTTGATGGGGTTGCACTTTTCAGAACTAGCTGCTTCATTGTGTCTTCTGCCGACACAACTCAGGTTGACGAAGAAGTCGAGGGATTCTTTTTTGAGGTTTCTTTGATAGGGTACGGAAACAATACCCTATCGGCTATTGCTACTCTACTGTTTTATACCATCGTTTTCCTCAAGTTCAATTAGTTTTACATTTTTTTTTGAAAAAATTTGATTATGATTTTGACGTGCAGTGTTGGTAGGATAACCTACTGCAAAAGGAATAGTTTCTCCTTAATATGTTGTTGGAACTCTTGGTTGTAATTGCATGTTCTCTCTCTCTCATCTCCCTTTTGCCATGCAAATTCTTTTGACAGAGGTGATGGCATTAGTGCTAATCTAGATTTCGACTTTCAAGGTTGTTTATTTGCTTTGAACTGTAAATTTCACATCCAAAAAGGAAAAATGTCATTATATTTTTCATTTTTCTACATACATATTATCAAATGCAATATTAAGCTGCTTTTGACTTACAAAGTTGGATTTCATTTTTGCATTGTATATAGGAGAAATGACATTACTCATTCTGTCACTCTCTTTGTCACTCGCTCAATTCATTGTTTAACACGTAGATTTCACTAACATGATATATTATTATTTCAACAGAAAATGAGATAGTAGAGTCTATATGTTTATCATTATTTGAAAGGAGAGTAATGGAAGGAATTTTTTCTTCTTCTTTATTTATTTATTTTTTTAGTTTTGTTTCTTCTGCTATGAAAACTAGTGATTCGTAAGATTCATGTATCTTCTTGTGTTTGTCCCTTGTGATTTTGTTTGGCATTGCCAACCGAACTTAGAAAATGTCGTCAGACACGACATGAAATCTTGGGATGTAAAATCTCTACCTCTCTTAATATGGGTTGCTTCAAGATACCAAATGCCAATTCTTGGCATATTTCTTTCGTTTAACAATGAAGGTACTTCCACGGTTCCACCTCTTTGCTGTTTTCCAGTCAACTAATGAAATTCCATTCATTGGAGGAAAGAAAGGGAGAAAAAAGAAACATCTTTTGCTGTGATGGTGAATCGTGACGGGGTATAATGTTATCACACTGCATTCTCTTTGTAGATCATGGATGTGAAAATACATGTCTGCTTGATATGATTGTTGCACTTTCCCATCATGTTGCCTTCCCATTAGCTGACATTTATTTCCTGTATTCGTCATTGATTCTGAATCATAATTCATGGTTCTCTATAATGTTTTTCTTTCACAAAAAATACACGTAAAACGAGAATAATTTTGAATCTATGAACTAAACAATACATATACATATCATACTGCAATAGGACGTGGCTTTGTTATTTAATTTTTAAGAGAAAATTGCTGAATTTACTTTTAAATGCACGAGTCTAGAGTTTTATCTCTTATTCTTGATTAATATTGTTTTGACTAATATTATTTTGACTTAAAAGGATATTATTTAAGAGTAAGGAAATAAAAATCTAGATGCATGTACTGTAAAGAATATTTTTCTCATTTTCTCCTATTTAAAACTAATAAATCTTATGAGAGTCATTTACTCATATATATATATATATTTTATTTCAACGGGATTTTGATCAAATATAACAATTAAAACCATGTACCACAAGATATATGGGCATAACCTAACGTAGAAGGCTTCAAAAGTAAGCACCAATATTTTGTGATATTTATACAACTTACGTTAAAGTGGTAATAAAAGTAATAAATATCCTTGTTCACGTTTTAGATAGAAGGAAAACGCAGTTAGAAACATCCTTTTAGGGCCCGTTCATTTTGCTGATTCGAGTTTGTAATTCGAGTTGAGATGTGATTTTATGTGAGAGTTTTTTACTGTAATAAAAAAGTTAGATGTGACTGTTTTTAAAAACTTTTTACTGTAATAAAATTTAAATTTTAAACTCGAATCGGTCAAATTCTAAAATTACTATACTGAAAAGAGGAGGAAGGGAAAAAAAAAAAGTTCTCTATAATTAATTTAATTGTGTATAGAAAAATTATGAATGTATACAGTTAATGGGTATAAATGTTTTCAGTTAAAAACGACATTCCTGGTAAAAGTAATGATCAACTCAATCTTCAAGAGCACGTACATATACATGTATATATATTCATATCTCCACGCATTTAGATTTGCTCAGAAGAAGTAACCGGCGACGGCGGCGACGGCAACTCCGGCTACGGCTGAGACGTCAATGGCGGATGCTCCGCTGTGGCTGCCGGGCGCCTCAGCGGTGGGAGGGAAGGCACCGGGGGGAGCGGGTCCGCCAACGGGGGCCTCAACGACTTCGTCTTCGTGGGACGAAATGCCCTCGTCGGAGTTTCCAATGAGGTCGTCGGAGGAAGGGCCGAAGGAGGGAACAGCAGCGTCGGCATCGGGGGTCTCGGCGGAGGCCAACCCTGCAACTGCGAAGAGGAGGAGAGCGAGAACCACGACTATATTGGGACGTGCCATATTGATGAGAAGTCTAGTTAGGGAGAAAGAGTGGTTCTCTTGTATTATTTTTGGGTTTTGATGGAGATATTGAAAGAAAGGAGAGAAAGGAAGTTTATATATAATACATATCTATATAATGATATATTATATATGTATAAATATATATTTATGGTTTGGGGAAAGCCATGGAGTGCGGTTGCGGAGGGTGAGGAAAGCCATGCATGGGGGTGGCCGTGTTCGCTGTTTTATTGCTAAATTCAGTAAATTAAAGCCTCTTAATTTAGTTTATTATTATTTAAATATGGGAAAATTCTAAAGCATGTGCAAAAGAAATTAGCTGGCTATTGGCTAATATTGACAATAATGATTATTATAAAAAAAAGAATTAAGTTTCCTTTTTTAAATGGAAATAAGTTAGAAAAAAAGGGTAAAACTTCGGATTATACACGTGTATTTTATTGAAAGTGTACTCCTTTTAGAACTGGGAAACTGCTCAAAAAGAGAGAGAGTATTTTTTTTTTATAATTTTTATGGAAAGTAAAAGAGTTCTTTAAGGACTCGAATATCATATCATGCAAATATAAATAGGGATCACTCGACATTAAGAACTTCCTTAGAACCCAAAGCTTCACCATTGAAAGATTAAAATCTAGTGGTTTCCTTGTAGATTTACGCAGAAAATTTCCACCCGATTAAATTACTTTATCGTACGTTCTCATCAGTACTGATCTCACTCGTAGCAATTAATAAGGTATGGGTTTTTTTAGCTTTTCTTGAATTTCTCTCAAAGACTGCACTCTTTACCCGTATATGCTTCTTTTCAGTAAATTTTTGTCATTCAAATTCTTTTTTTGAGTAGTTGATCTTATCATTCTAATTGTTAATGCTTTGTAACATGCTTTTACATGCTTCTTTTGAAGAGAAATCAAATTTCGAAACTTGAAAATTTTAATATTATTGTACCACAAGTTTCGCAGTTACTTTTTTTCCCAGATTTTTTTTTGTTCCAATATTCTTTCTTCAAAGCGATTAAACATATATATATATATATATGTATATATATATATATATGTACACACACACACACACATAGGAGGAAGCTCAATGATAGGAACTTACAGAAGCACTAATAAAATAGTAATAATACGTTTTTTTTTTTCTGGAAAAAAAATAGCAATAATACTTACACAATTCTTTTTCTTCCCGTCCCTAAAAAAATAAACAAATTGCTTTCCTTTTTTTTTTTTTTTTTGGGTTCTTGGGACGCACAAAATCTAATGTTGGAAAAAAAAAAAAAAAATTTTTTTCTTTTTTTTTTTTTTTTTTTTTTTTTAACAGAACGGCATTACACTCTTCTTGCTTCTTCTTTTTTGTTGTTGAAATCTAATTGAACTGAGTTCTGATTATTCAAAAGATTTTGAAATTATAGCATTCATTAATTTATTTAAATCACATTCTAAAACTGACCCTGATCGTGGTTCTTGAATTAATTAAGTTGGCTAAGTATTCATAGATTAACTACTTTTTCTCTTTTTCTTTTCTCTTTATGGAATATCTAAATTTGCGTCTATATTTTATGCAGAAACATGGCAACTGATTTGCCTGAAGACATACTAATAGATATTTTTTCAAGGTTACCTCCTGAATCTATATTACAGTTTAAAAGTGTTCAAAAATCATGGTATATTCTTATAACTGCACTAGTGAAGGACCCTGTATTTGTGGCCAAGAATTTCCACAACAATAAGAGGAAAGGATCGTTTTTAATCTACAAGTGTTTTGAAGATACCAATATAGGGTCCCTCGCCATCTGCAATAATGGAGCAGACAATGAACAACGACTTAGTTATGGCATACAAGATTTCAAACCGCTGTTTCCAAATCGCTACAGAAAGTTTCTGAATTACAGTCGGGTTGGCGTATCTCATTGTGACGGCATCATTTGCCTGGCCGATTATTACGACGGTCGTATTTTATTATGCAATCCAGCAACCAGGGAATTCAAGCTTCTTCCTACCGATCCGTGCTTTTATGAGGCGAAAGAATACCGACTCGCCAATGTCGGATTTGGTTACGATTCCATCGATGATGTCTACAAGGTTGTCTGTGTCTGCGCATGGCCGTCCGGCGAATTTAAAGCTCACGTGTATACTTTGGGCAATGATTATACTTATTGGAGAGATATACCGTTGAAGACACAAATTATTATTGGCGACTATCATTCTGTAAGATCTATCACCACCAAAGAGGTGCATTGCAACGGAGTCTGTTATTGGTTGGTGCAAGATAATAATGCTTTCCAACAACAAATGTACTCATTTGATATGCACGACGAGGAGTTTCGCACCATACCTTTGCCCGACCACATTGAAAACATGGGATATTGTAATGCTTACAAACTAAGCCTCACTCGGTGGAATGAATCTGCTGTCTTGTTCTTTTATCCACCACCCCATTGGGTCAGGAAAGTGTCTATTGAAATGTGGGTACTGCGATCATGGCGTTGGACAAAACACCAGACGACAGTGCCGTTAAGAGGAATGGAAAAGATTGAAGCGGCGTTCTATAAGAGTGATGAGATCCTTATTAAAGAAAAAAGAGGCCTGTTATCCTACAACGTACTCACGAGGAAGGTGAGAAGAATTTACAAAGGCGATGTGGACAGATTTCGTGCTTGCTGTTATTACGTTCCGAGCCTTGTTTCAATTAGAAGGATTACCTTTGACAAGTGAAAAGAAAGTTTATTATAAGGACATGGACATGAGTAGTGCTTGAAAAATTATGCGTGATTTATAAATATTTTAGTTCTTTTAGAATACATTATTATTTTTGTTGAAATTACTTGAATATTGTCTTTTTTTTTTTTTTTAGAGACCTTTTCTTAATTTAGTAAACGTAGAGACATCTACTTAAAGTAGACTCTAAAAAGACTATCCAATTTTCTTTTTTTTTTAAAGACATTTTCACAATTTAACAAAACTAAATATATAGTATACTTAAAAAAAAGCCATTGCAATTTCATTATAAACAAATAATAATAATATATTTCAAATAATAATAATACAAAAATAATTTAAACAACTCAAAAATATGGTTAAATAATAATATAAATATGTTTCAAAAATCTACTTAAGATGACAAAAAATATTATTTATGTCACTGCATTAAAAAATAAATAATTGTCATTCAATTAATAAAGGGAAAATAAAAGGCCAAAATGACACCCAATTAGTTAGAATGACATAAATAATAGACTTGTACAAAACCATAACAAATCATGTACTTTTCTCTAAAGTACATGGTTTATTATTTATGTCATTCTAAATAATTGAGTGCTATTGTGATTTTTTGTTTTCTCTTTATTAATTAAATGACAATTACTTATTTTTAAGTGCAATGATATAAATAATAATTTGAGAAAAAAAGATAAATATCCTTCAGAATGCATAAGTCTTAGCTTTTATTTTCTCTAATATTTTTCACCATTAAATAGTAATGAGGTATTTCTGGTTTTTTTCTCAAAAAATTTAGAGAAAATTGCTGAACTTACTCTTAAAAATGCATGAATTTAGATTTGTATCATTTACTCTTGATTAATACTCTTGTGTTATAAAAAATATATTAAGTAAGAGTAAAGAGTAAAAATTAAAATTTATGTATTTTAAGAGGTATTTGTGAAGATTTCTAAAATATTTATGTCCGGTTTAGTGAAAGTCCATTTTTGATATGGGTCAGGCTGATACAGAAAGGCCCAACTTGGATTTCCCATCGCTCAGATCCAAACCCTAACCGAAGAGCGGAGGAAGCAAATCGAGTTAGGGCTTTTGAAAAAAACAATCAAACAAGAGAGGGAGGGAGCGAAAACTAAACCCCTTTCATTTCTTCCCACTTCCGCCATTGTCGTTGCTCGACTTCTCTCGAAGCTTCCACACTCTTCTCTCAGACCGATCGGCACCGCCGAGGGATCTCCGCCGTGAAGAAATGGCGCTGGCGTTCGACGAGTTCGGGAGGCCATTCATCATTATCAGAGAGCAGGGACAGAAGACCCGATTGCGAGGCCTCGAAGCTCATAAGGCCAACATTTCCGCCGGGAAAGCCGTCGCTCGCATCCTCCGGACCTCTCTCGGCCCCAAGGGCATGGACAAGATGCTCCAGGGCCCCGACGGCGACGTCACCATCAGTACGTTTCTCTTTCTCCCGCGCCATTTTCTCTTTCTTCCTTTCATGAAAGTCCGGAGATTTTACGGTTTTTAGTTTTCTTAGTCTGGTAATGGTGGCGATGTTAGTCGTTGTTGTGGATTTGTAGTGTTTGATTGATTTTGAGATTTTAGTATGTGGATCTATTGTGGAAATGAACAAAATGATAAAGTAGTAAAGTATCGGTGTGATTTGGAGTTGGTTTGTGTGAATATCTGTTCTTTCGCGTAAAGTACCTAGGGTTTTTGAAGTTCTTGTATGATTTCATTTTGAAAGAAAGAGAAATTATGAGCTTTTTGGCTTTAGGTCTTTCGTTAGTTTATTGCATTATTTTATGGGGAATAGGAACAAAAGCACAAGTCTTTCGATATTGCGATTCTGTGATCTTACTTTTTCGCCCCCTGTTTACACAGCAAATGATGGTGCAACAATTTTGGAGCAAATGGATGTTGACAATCAAATTGCAAAGTTGATGGTTGAACTTTCTCGTAGTCAGGATTACGAGATTGGTGATGGGACAACTGGTGTTGTTGTTCTGGCTGGTTCACTTCTGGAGCAGGCTGAGCGGCAATTGGAACGTGGTCTTCATCCAATTCGGATCGCTGAGGGCTATGAGATGGCCTCTAGAATAGCTGTTGAGCATCTTGAGCGTATAGCTCAGAAGTTTGAATTTGGGGAGTCCAATATAGAGCCTTTAGTTCAAACTTGCATGACTACTTTGTCTTCGAAGATGTAAGTAATGGTGGCTCACGGGTTAACTTTTTTGCTTTGCAATCATTTGTAGTTTATTGGATTACATTTGTGATTTGCAAGCAGTAGATAGACATTATGTGGCTAAAGCTACTGAGAATAGAACTAGGGAGGTGGAAGTAGAAATGCCTTCATTGCCTTGTTGCTCTTTCTTGATGTCAAAATTTGTTCAGAGCTTTGTGTGAATTTTTACAGTCAAACGTGCAAGTTATGGTACTTGCTAATGATGACGTTATGTAATTATATTCCTTATACTCTGATATGTATTATGTGTATGAGCCTTTGTTCTTAATGTTGCAGAGTGAACCGGTGTAAGCGTGATCTGGCTGAGATTGCTGTTAGGGCAGTTCTTGCTGTTGCACATTTAGAAAGGAAGGATGTTAATTTAGATTTAATAAAGGTGGAGGGGAAAGTAGGAGGCAAGTTGGAAGACACTGAGCTCATTTATGGAATTCTTGTTGACAAGGATATGAGCCATCCGCAGATGCCAAAGCGAATTGAGGATGCAAAAATTGCTATCTTGACTTGTCCCTTTGAGCCACCTAAGCCAAAAACTAAACATAAGGTTGATATTGATACAGTGGAGAAGTTCCAAACCTTGCGTCAACAAGAGCAAAAGTACTTTGACGAAATGGTCCAAAAGTGCAAGGTGGCCTTTTAACGTTATTTTATAATTTACTGTTAAAAAAACTCTCACTTATTTCTACTTTGTTTCACATTATGGAAGTATCGTAGGTTATGTAGGTTTTGTTTGTTATGAGACTTACTTCATTTACCTTGCACGTGTGGTTAGATATATGCTTATTGGGGCATTTAGGTACTGCGGAACTAAGTTTTTGAGTTGCAGGACATTGGGGCTACTTTGGTTATCTGTCAATGGGGTTTTGATGATGAAGCAAATCATTTACTGATGCACCGGAACTTGCCTGCTGTAAGATGGGTTGGTGGTGTAGAGTTGGAACTAATTGCAATAGCCACAGGTGCGTCTCCTTTAAACAATTTTGCAAGTCAATATTACATAAATTAAACTATTTAAATGGTTTATTTACTTGGTAGATAGTTCCTCTTTCTTAATTGGTTTGACCAATGGTGCATTTGTAGGTGGAAGGATTGTGCCTAGGTTCCAGGAGTTGACTCCTGAGAAGTTGGGAAAGGTGTGTTTAGCTGTTTGTCTTTACTACTTTCTGTGCGTACCCTGTGTGTGCATGTTTGTTGCTGTTTTTTATTTTATTTTATTTTATAGGGGGTTGATCTTTTTCTTGAATTCCTTATTTGCTTACATTTTGGATTACAACATAACAATGTTAACATGATAAACTTTTTTTTAAGGCTGGTCTGGTTCGAGAAAAATCATTTGGTACAACAAAAGACCGAATGCTGTACATTGAACACTGTGCAAATTCAAAGGCTGTTACCATATTTATCCGTGGAGGTTGGTTTCTTGTCATATATGTTCCAGCATTTACATTTTTCATATCAGAGTCTTATTCAAGAAAATAACTTGAAGGCATTTTGAATCTCATAATAAGTTTTCTTATTGAACTAATTTGTCGTCGATTCTGCATTAGGTAACAAAATGGTGATTGAGGAGACCAAACGCAGTATTCATGATGCATTGTGTGTTGCTAGGAATCTTATTCGCAACAATTCTATTGTCTATGGTGGCGGTTCAGCTGAGATATCTTGTTCAATTGCAGTAGAGGCAGCTGCAGATAGATACCCAGGAGTTGAGCAGGTTTGAAGATTGTGTTTCTTTTTTAGCTCCTTCATATTTATCTCCATTATATTTTGATGTATTCACTGCTTGTCTGTCATGTTTTTCTTTTATCACAGTATGCTATCAGAGCATTTGCTGATGCTCTGGATGCCATCCCTATGGCGCTTGCGGAGAATAGTGGACTCCAACCCATTGAAACGTTGTCTGCAGTTAAATCGCAGCAAATTAAGGTAAGCTTAGCTAGCATCCTAAGCCTGTTCCAACTACCTTCAGTGTTTCTCAACCAACCTTAGTGGCATTAATTTTTTCTGTTATTAATTTCGGTTTTGGTTTTGGTTGTAGGAGAACAATCATTATTGTGGAATTGATTGCAATGATGTCGGCACTAATGACATGCGTGAGCAGAATGTTTTCGAGACCCTCATCGGCAAGCAGCAGCAGATCTTGCTGGCAACACAAGTTGTCAAGATGATATTGAAAATAGATGATGTTATCTCCCCTTCCGAGTACTGAAAATTTGGGGTTCATGACCTGTTCAAATTTGCCAAACAGAATGGGCGTTCGTTTTATGTTTGGTATATTTCTCGGTGTGATTCCGGTTTTGATTCAACTTCTGGGACAATCTCCTCTTGATGGATACTACTTGTTGCTTGCACTGTAGCTTTTCTGAGGTGCCTTTTGTTTAAATTGTAAGCATAGCTGCTACTCATCGGTTTGGTGATAATAGATTGTTGAACTTTCCTATTTTGTTTAAATCTTTATCATCACCAAACAAAATCTCTCTATCATGCCAAATTTGTCACATAAGCATTGCATGCACGAGTTTGAACCATTTGGCTGTCCCATGGCAAAACTGGCATTAATTTTCTAATGAAACCATCACAACAATGAGGTCTCCACAACAATTATTGGACGCCAGAATGGCCCCTTGTGCCGGTTGTAAAGACATTTTTAAAGGCTTCGAAGACAAAATGCTATTCTTTCGCCTCAATAAAGAGCCTTTTTAACAGTGTATGATGTTACCCAAGCTCAGAATGTGTTGCATGGAAATTGGAATTATTGGGATTTTTGTTCCTACCTGTGGGCTATGAGCAAAAGGTCATTGTCTATCATTCACAGTTGGAATGAAAAGTACTGTCACGACAAACGTACCTTTTATTATTTATCTTGTTTTGATAATTTACCGTTGTGAAATGTTCGTTAGGCTTACAACAAATTAGACCACTGGCTTGTCTTCCGACTTTCACAGTTATCGACCGTTTTGTTTTCACACTTGTTTTATCTTCAAATCTTTGAAAAGTAAATGCCATTATGCTCTTACGTCAGTTTGCAAGTTAATTTTGTCACCGAACTCACATGTGAAGCTTGGAAATTGAGAATCTGTCTTTTATGTTTTTCTATTGTTTTTCCCTGAAAGATGTGCGTCTTTCCGTGGATTATGTTCTCTCGTGCTAAAGATTTCTGTCAGCTTAGTAGAAGAACAGAATAAATCAATAAATAATCACATGGGCAATCTTTCTTGTTTTTAAGATAAACAACAATGTGTAATCAATCTCCTATTAACAATCTTGCTCAGACAAAACCGACTCCATATGAAATGTACGTCGAACTGTGTTTATGGCTTTATCACAATGGACAACGAATTAGAATGACCCTTTTCACAGTAAGAAATAAGGAGTAGAAAATCACAGCTGTCGAAAAGGACAAAAAGATACGTGTCTAAATCTATCACCTTTCGTTCTACTATTGAAGAGAAAGAACGAGACAAAAAGACTCTCATTAAGCTCGATAATGATAAGAAAACTTATATTCAATCCCGTGAACTCCAAGATTCACATTGGTGGGATCCATATCATTGGTGAGAGCCCGAGTTCTAAAAGTAGAGCGCTCAAAATAATATGTCATCTTCTGCTTGTTCAACTCTACCGACGAGGCATTGGCTATTTATGGACTGGAGATGGATACTGGTGGAGTTGGAAATTACTACAATAGTTTTTGTTGGTGACATTTATGGCAACTGGGATTGTCGGGAGCAGAAAGCTTTAATGGTGGGCACTTTGGTTGTTAGTGATAATTGAATTCAAGCAACAAGATCCAATATAACGAATCCAAAGGCATTGGAGATTCCTTCAAGTTTGAAAATAATCGTCAAAAAGGAGACACCAGAAAATCGGTGTGGAAAAGTGTTTTTTGTGCCTGCAAAACACATGGTCCTCAGAAGATAACCAACACAAGCATTTATTTCCTCTCAAAGACTTTATGTTCAATCCACACTCTTGCTGAACCAACCCATGTGAGGGAAAACCCAAGTGGCATTAAATTCCATTCATGAACGATATTGTTACATATGCGAAAAATAAACAAAGGAAAAAAAAAGGACACGCATTACCAACACTTTGGCTATTGTCTCTTTCAACCCCACAAAGCAGGTTTCCAAGCAAAAACTTACAACATGGTTGGTCACAAACTAGCCAAGGTTTGTAAACATCACAAATAGTTAAAATTGCAAATCTTGGTATACAAGAAAAGATAGGTCCAAACTCTATTACCTTATACTTACAAATTGGGTTTTCTCCTTTTACCCAAATAGTTTCTTTCTTAATTTGAGATCATTTGTCATCTTATTCTCCTCCCCTCAAAACTTTTACCATTATTAACTAAGATACTATGGACAACGTTTGTTACTTCATGGATTATCAGAAATCAGCAACGTGACCCCTTCCTGCATTTAAGTGAACCCGCGCCGGACGTGATTGTACTTACTAGGGAAGATGGCCTTGCGCTTAAGCTCGACGCCTTGGCGTAATTAGAAGACGCTCCGGCGCCAGATGCTGTGAAGAAGGCTCCGTTCATGAGCAAGTCTCCTGATGATCTCCAATTCCATTTCTTCCACTCGCTTTGTGCTGCATCCTCATGCTTAGTAATCTACAAAGAATGACCAATTGATATAAGTTCCTTTTGAGCTTATGAAGCAACAATTGCACTAAAAAATGACCAATTTAGACTTCATTTATTCTCACCTCTTTGTTGTCTTTGTTATTGGGAGCAAGAAACCTATTGCCTTGGCTGTTAATAGTAGGAGATGCACTTCCACCAATTGCGTACATTTCCCAATGTGTGTAGTCATTATTCACCACATGGAAGTACCCATGTCTACATCTGCAAAATATTAAAAAATGTAGCAATTTTAGCAACAATACTTTAGTAATTGGGCCTCAAACAAATCATTTAGAGCTAAAACAATTTAAAGAAATGCCCTTATTTTATTCCTTTTACATACTAAAAGATTTACGCCTTCACTTTACCTCATTTTATATCAACTTAAAAATGATATATTAATTCTATGAGAACGACACAAAACTAATTTTCTTTTATCTCATTATATATCTAACTTAAAATTGGCAGAATTCTACGAGGAGGACACAAAACCGAAACGAATTAATCAATGCCCATTACCTTGGCATTCTTTGGACAAGGCCTTCTCCAAAATGGTTGAAGGCAATAGTGACCTGCATATTCTTGTCCTGCTTGTAGCTATCACTGTGTCCCAAGAGCATGACCTTGTTGTGGTGGGTCATGTAATTGTTTGAAATAGTAATGGCAGTGGAACCGTGAATGGCATCAATAAGTCCATCACGGCAGTTAGAGAGCGAACAGTGATCAACCCAAATGTGGCTTCCACCAAAGATCGAAACCCCATCTCCATCAGACAAAGTCCTCCAACCATAGTGGCTTGGCGAGTCTCTCACATAAGCATTCCCACCTTGCTTACAATCATGTATGTTCAACCCATGGATGATCACATTCGTCACGTATTGTATCGTTATGCATGGCCCACCGGCAATGTGAACGCTCGCGCCTCGGCCGTCGATTGTCTTGAACGAGTTGACCATCAGCTCTTCCTTGAGCTTGATCACCATGTCACGCTTGAAAATGATCCACAATGGCTCCTCTTGGATGACGCCGTACCTAAGTGTGCCTGGCTTCGGGTTCACGGGGTGGTCGCCGGCGTCTGTCACCACGTAAATCTTGCCGTCTCTGCCCCCGACGGCGTTCTTACCGAACCCGATCGCGCACCCTGCCAAGCGCTGCCGGTTCTTCTCCCAATTGGCGTCACACCGCCAGCAGTCATCAATGGGGTTACCTGTCCCACATGAGAGGTACCCCAAGTTCCTCCTATTAATTGACTCATTGATGCTCCTGCAAAAAGAATAAAAAAATAATAATAATTATGTAACAAATGTGTGAAACACTAATGTATAGACCCCCAAAAAATGGTACACAAGACAGTACTCGTAAATAAGGCAGTGACATTTTTCTAATTTACAAGTTATATTGGTAAATGGACATACTTTTGTACTTCTTGTACTACCAATTCAGAGTCTGGGACTGGGGAAGAGGAAATGAGAGTCGAAGCGAGTAGAATATTAAGCAAGAGAAGTAGTGAAAGAGGGAGTGGCATTGCCATAGCTTTTTATTTTTTGAAAATTTTATATTTTTTCGTCTTTTCTCTCTGCCTTGAAGAGGAATATTACAGGGGAGAGATTAGAGTAGCGATGCAGAGAGAGAGAGAGAGTTAGAGAGGAGATTCTTTGGTGATGGAGGTAGAGAAAAAATTGTGAGCTTTATATAGGGAATCAAAACAGGTGAAGGAACTGTATACGTGATATTATATAATTGTGGGGTCCACTAGTTCCATGATTTCTCCATTAATTCGGTTCCATTAGTAGTTTAGCCGTCAAGTAATCTCTACATGCTATACATATATGTATATGATATATTTGATGTGAGAAATTCTCTTGGGTCAATTTTCTTATAATTAAAAGAATTTATACCATTATTACCTACTAATTAGTGTATTATTTGTACGGATAGACTTGTCCGAACTAATTACATTTGGGAAATTGAGAAAACAATAAATACTGACTGAGGCTGATCTCTCTCTCTCTCTCTCTACATATATATATATATACACACACACTTTGACAGTAATTTTTAAAAACTGTATATTATTATTATTATTATTATTATTATGTGTATAGAAAAGACGTAACTTAACTATATACACCGACACTTTTCCAAATGAAATTATTGTCGGTGTGGCACTACCACAACCACAGTGCTGAATTAATGTAGAGACTAGAGACTGATCAGCCCCCTACTATCCTATATCTTTTTATGACAATTTGCATTCTTTCGATTAATGAGAAATCTATTCATGACTAATTCTTACATAGTACTTGTCAGTGAAAAAACAAACGTGTCACTTCTCAATAACTCATTTAAAAGCCTTTGTAAGTAAAAAAAAACAAACGTGTCACTTCTCAATGCATTGTTACAATTTGGGTTATTTACTATTAGAATTGTCGTCGCAAATAAATAAATATTTACACCGACATCTCGTCACAAATATTTTTATAAAATTAAAAAATATTATCGTCCCTAAAAACTCACACGTCATCATAAATACTTGCTTGGTGGCAGATGTTGTCTGGCGCGAACTTTTAGCGCCAAAATAACATTATTTGCGACGACAATAATTAACTATTTACGACGACACATGTTGTCGCAAATAAAATTTAAGTTATTTATTTTCCCCCGAGCAAAAAAGATTATTTTGGCGGGTGGCAAAATTTTTTTGCGACGACATTAATGTGTGTCGTCGCAAAAAGTGATTTTGTATTCCTTCAGTAAAATAAAAGGAGGGAAATTGGACAGGTCCCCAAAAATTATTTGCGACGAGATTATATGTGTCATCGCAAATAATAATTTCAGAACCTTCCTTCTAAACCCTAAATAATTTAGTTATATTTACGACAACATGTGTCGTCGCAAATAATGTAAGTGTCGTCGTAAATAATTTTAAGTTATATTTGCGACGACGCAAATATTCTTTTGTGTCGTCGCAAAAAACTCTGTTATATGCCCACGAGTAGAGCTTCCTCATCCTTTTTTTTTCTGATCAGATTCTCTCTCTCTCTCTCTCTCTCTCGGCCTCTCATCGGTTTTCTAACCCCGAACTCTCAAAATCTCCTTATATTCTCTTCAAAATCAACAATATTATAAGTTTTATTTGTTTTTTCATCTAAAAAATCCCAAAATCTCGCCGTCAACGTCTGCCGCCATCGAAGTCCGCCGCCACTGCCTCCCTTTGCCCCTGTTTATCTTGCCGTTTTCAGCCCCCGTTTCAGTGGGTTTGAATTTTGTAAGTTTTTCCATAGTTATTGTATTTTTTTAGTTTAAAATGTATGAGTTATTTGAATTGTGTATAATTATGGATTATAAATTTTGAAGTTTGATTTATATATTTTAGAATTAGTATATAATTTGAAATTTGGATTATAGATTGAATTTTAGATTATGAATTTTGAGATTATTGAAATTTGATATTGAGATTGTTGAAATTTTATGATTATAATTTGATTTAGGTTGAAATTAAAAGTTTTGATAATTGTTCTCGGTGGCATATCTTGTAGTTATGGTGTGCTGAAATCTTTTAAAAGTTATTTTTTTGCAGGTTTGACTTTTTGGATAATAAGAAAAATATGTCGTTATGATGTAGAAATTTTATTAAATCCTATTAATTTTAAGAACTTAATTAATAAGAATTAATTATATTAAGAGAAAGAAAATTAAAAATTAATTATAAACATTATTAATTTTAACAATAATAAAATAACTTGTTCATAAAATTTGATAAAACTTATAAAATTGAAACATGAAATGTTAAACTTTCTTTATGAACGTGATTATATAGTCATAAGAAAACATGAAGTATGATTAGATGTGTTATTGTTTTTATAGTCAAGATGCCAATTGACAAGAGTTGGATACATCTAAAAAATCGGTTGTCTGATCAGTATTGGGAAGGGTTGTGTGCGTTTATCAACATTGTCAAAGACTATGTTGATGAAAGCGGTTGTACAAGTTGTCCATGTCGGAGGTGTTTAAACCATAAGTATTTTCTAATAGAAACAGTTAGAGCACACACACACACACACCAATATGGCTTCAATACTTTATATACGACGTGGTATTACCATGACGAAGATGATGTTGCAACTAATCCAATAAATGAATCAGTTGACGAGATGGTTGTAGTTATACATGATGTTGTTTGAAATAACTATGATCATGATATGCTGGACGAAGTAGAAACTGAGGTGTTAGGTGATACGACACCATTAAAGAGGTTGATGAGTAAAAACTGTTTTGTTGAGCATCAACGGTGGCTTCCTATTTGGCATAGATGAGAAATAGTAGGAAGTTTGATGGTAAGGTTGATCGTCGTGCTCCTCCGCCTCAGAAGTCTGTAGAAGAAATATTATTTCAGTTACAGAACGTCGGATCCAAACTGCTTGGTAAACATGAAAAGTATGGCGGTAAGAAACGAAAGAGATAATCTGCAGAGCTTAACTGGACAAAGAAGAGTATTTTTTGAGAACTACCATACTGGACTTCATTATCAATTCATCACAACTTAGATGTCATGCATATCGAAAAAAATGTATGTGACAGCTTGTTGGGTACTATTCTTTGCATCGATGGAAAAAGTAAGGATACAGACAAGGTGAAGATCGATTTGCATAATATGGGGATTCGTAAAGAGTTACATTTGTACAAAAATGGTGATCGATGGATGAAACCACCTGCAGCTTACACGTTAACCTAAACTGATAAGCAGAAGTTCTGTGAATTTTTAAAGTCTATTCGATTTCCTAATGGATTTGCCTCGAATTTAAAAAAAATATAACTGATGGGAACATAAAGATCAGTGGGTTAAAATCACACGAATGTCATGTTATAATACATCGATTGTTACCGACTGGGAATCGCCCGTTCATGAAAAAGGAAATTGTTAATGCAATAACAAAACTGAGTAATTTCTTTCAGTTGATATGTTCCAGAACATTAAGAATTTTAGACTTAGAGAGAGCTCAAGAGGATATAATTCTTATCCTGTACAAGTTAGAACAATATTCATGCCAGCTTTCTTCGACATAATGGTTTATTTGTCGATGCATCTACCAGAAGAAGTCATTCGTGGAAGACCTATTCATTTAAGGTGGATGTATCCATTTGAACGCTTTCTTGGATTGTTGAAGAAATATGTTCGCAATCATACTCGTCCAGAAGGATCAATTGGCGAGGCATACATTGTGAATGAGGCCCTGACATTTTGCTCAATGTATTTACGCGGGATTGAGACTAAGTTTAATTGACCAAAAAGAAACTGGGTTGATGATGACACTGTTGGGAATAGTGTCCTAGAAGCATGAGATGTAAAAGGATATTTATTATTTATTTAATAAAAGAGTTTATTCATCATTTTATGTGCATCTATTTATGAATATTTTATGAATATCAAATAAAATTCCTTGATTATTTATGTAACCTTAAACATGGTATATAAGTGTTGTATACGAGAGGATAATGTTTAAGGATAATAATTAAAAGTAATTGTTCATAATGAATTTAATTAAAGTTCGGAATCTTTAATTAAAATATTATTAATACATGTCATTCCCATTTAGAATGGAACGGTGTTATCCGCACTGTTAATATGGCGAGATATTGAATGAGTGTATTTCGCATAATGAGATTATGTGGAACATGGACACAGACACAATATGAATTTCTAATAATTTCTGTTAAGCATAGAAATTCTAATTGAGTCTACCGATGGTCATATATAGGATGATCTTAATCCTGAGTTTTTAACAAACTCCTATTTATGGATTTATGTCTTTTGATTTACTCAGTACGGATTCCGAGACCCTGAATCCTATTCCTTGTATTTTGGAGACATAATGAAATAGGTAGCTGGGAATGTTATTATACGAGATGGAATCCATTCCTTCTTGAGAAAGAAGCAGATAAATAATTCTCTTGAGTGTTGATTCGGTACTTGGATTAGTAAGA